GAGAGAGAGAGAGAGAGAGAGAGAGAGAGAGAGAGAGAGAGAGAGAGCCCACATAAGTGCAGGAGCTAGAGGAGGCCAGAAGAGGACAATAGATTCCCTGGAGTTGGAGTACAGGTGGTTGTGAAACATCTGATTTGGGTTCTGGAAACCCAACCCATGTCCTCTGCAAGAACTGTGCCCATTCATAACCATAGAGTCACCTCTCCAGTTCCTCATCATTTAAACACGACTCCCTCCTTCCCACCTCTCCCAGAAGTCCCTAAAAATCGTCTTCCTGACAGATGTAGTCTCCAAAAGATTCTCTCTTTCCCCGACTTCTTCATTTTGTATCTTTGTGGTAAATCAACAGATTTTCCTCCTCCCCCAAGTCTCCTGAATTGCTTGGTGGCATTAAGTAAAAATGGAACCCTGAAAGTCTTTTGAGTTAGGAACCATGTGAACAAATTTCTTTGGACATTTTGTTGAACTTTGTTTATAATGAGTTCTTTTTTCTTTTGACTTTCTCTTTAGCCACTGATTAGTGTGGTGGGTATGTTCTACACATCCACCTTCTGATCGAGGGACTCCAGTTGAAGGGTCAGTCACTCTCAGAACAGATCAGATGGGAAGAAGGTCCAAACCTTTCCTTCCAGGTCTCTGTGAGTTGGTAGGTTCCTGTTCTCATCTGTAAATCCCTTCCTGGAACTATGGTAGACAGGATAAGTAAGAATAATTCTCTATGTATTTATTTGGAAGTGGGGTGGTCAGGGAAGGCAGGTTTTGGTGGCATTTCACCTATCTTCTCTCTTGACCTGTGATGCACTGCATCATTCTGGGAGTGAAATATGGAAAAGGCTCTCAGAACATCTTTAGTTATGAGACACAGCAGGACATCCTGATAGATTGGCAGTTTTTGCACTTCTTCTGCAGAACTCTAGGGTCTTAAAGCCTCCCAAGATTAAATGACTTGAACAATAGTGATTGTCTCTTCAACTAAAGAGACTTTAAACCCACAGGTCAGCATACGGGCAGGTTTTCATTAAGACTTTATCTTGTTGGGCTCTAGAGTACAATCACCAAGGAGGAGTTGCCCCCCAGAGACTGTCTCTCATACCACAACTGATGTAAAAGCATGAGGATTTTATTAATTCTGTCATGACAGGGTCTTCCAGCATTCGGAAGGCTAGAAAGACCCCAAATGGCTGGTACAGGCTATTTTTAAAGGAAAAAGCCACAGAAGAAAGGGGGAGTATGGGGGCTGTTCTTTAACTATTATGATTGGCTTATTCAAAAGAACTATTACCAATAATTGGCTGGAGAGTGGTTGCCAGATCAGATGAGGTAAGAAGAAACATCTGAGGGTCACTTTGCCCCTTTCCCAGGGCCTAAGTCAAAACATCAGTAACTGAGTCAACATCTAAGGGTTATCTTGCCCTTATTCAATAACTGAGTTCTATTTGGAGAACATTCACAAGGACTCAGGGAGATGGTTGAAAGTTCCCCACATTTCAGTTCGTGTGTGGGCAATTGTTAGGTCCTTGGTTCCCAGGGGAGGGGGGAGCATTACTGCTGAGACGGAGAGTTGTCAGAAATGGCTTCAGAGTTCCACAATCTTATAGTCTGGGATGATGGCACACATCTTTAATCCCAGAAGGGAGGCAGAGGCAGGTGGAACTCTGAGTTCCACCTGAGACCAGACTCTACTCAAAAGTAAAATGGTCTTAGAAAATGTTTCTGGTTCTGTAGTAGGAGGCCGCTTGTTCATTCTCAGCTGCTCAGACCATGAAATAATCACTCAGAAACATTATTATTTACAATATTGTTTGGCCAATAGCGTAAATGTATTTCTGGCTAACTCTTATATCCTAAACTAACCCATCTCCATTAATCTGTGTATCGCCACGTGACTGTATCTTACTGGAAAAAGTTCCCCTGACATCTGTCTCTGGCACGGCTACATGGCTTTTCCTGCCTCTGCCTTCTTTCTCCCAGCATTCAGTTTAGTTTTCCCCACCTACCTCTCTTCTGCCCTATCACAGGCCAAAAACAGTTTCTTTATTAACCAATGGTAATCACAGCATACAGAGCATACAGTATACAGGAATCCCACATCATGGTTCTCAGAAATTCTGAGAACTGCCAGGACTGGCTAAACTTGTCAGATGCATGGAAAGACTCCTCTCTGGGGCAGCTGTCTGAGGTCTAACTAAAGGAGGTGGAAAGGGGGCAGCGCTGTCTGAGGTCTAACTAAAAGACACAGGGGATCTGGTGTCCACTTTCTCCCAAGAAGGGACAGAGACACTGGAAAAGTTAAATGAATGTGAGAAGGGAAGAAAGTCCTTTGTCTAATTTGGATCTGGTTTCTGTTTCTCACTGGTGAAAATAAAATATTCAAACACAACTGAAAACCATGTTACGAAGATTGCTTACAGAGAAGTGCTCATTTTTCTAAGACATTTCCCTTAGAAAAGAGTATTCACTAGTATCAAACTGTGTTCTCTAAGAGCCAAAATGCACTGTTAACTTTGAGTTGACCACAACAGGTACCCATAGACCTGAAAGGCACACCTCATCAACTACCTCATAACTTCATTTACAAAAGGAAATCCCATATGCAAGGAGAAATCAGTCAGCTGGCCCATGTTTTAAACTTAACATTACAATGTGAAATTGTTACTTAAGTTTTAAACTTTGCTTTATCTTTGACCCTGACTGTAAACTGGATACTTTAAACAATTTGACTTTCCAAGCTGTAAAATAATCCACAGTGCTATTGTTAAGTCATATCTGTCACTCCAAATGCCTGTGTTTATATCTAAAATGAATGCTATCTCTTTCTCTTATCCTTAAAAAAATCCAACTTTGTTTGTAATGACTTATTTTCTACAGGGTAAATCAAGATCTCAATCACAGAAAGGTGGGGTCCCTAAGTCCCTCCACCCCCACCCCAAGTCCCTAAGTCACCTCAGGTTGTAGCCAGAGGCACCAAACTAGGCTCCTGCTGCCACTAATGCCTCCTGCTGCTTCTGAGTGACTGTGTACTGTAGATTATTTTCCAGGTCCCAATGTGGAGAACTGAGAGAAGGACCTTGAGAAATGTCAGTGACTGCCACAAGGCAAACACGGGGCAGATCAGTGAGCTTGATCCCACCCATTGTGGTCAGCGCCCCCCCCCCCTTTTTTGTCGCAGAGAAAAGGGAACTAGCAAACATGTTGGGAATGATGCCACGTATTAGCTTAAAGACTTCCCAAGATGGGTAGCTGTCTGATGGTCACTAACGCATTATCCAGTAGGTCGAAGACTGCTTGAGAATAGCGGCTAATGAGGGCACTTCTACTGGAAGCCATCTTCACTCACTTATGGATTCTTCGTTGTTCGTTAGTGAGCAAGCCAGGAAAGATTTCACTAACTGTTCTCTTAATAGAGAAGGCACTAAACGTTGGTTTTTAGAATTAAGTTGTGGGGCATATCCTCCTCCTCCTCCTCCTCCTATGTGGGGAGGGTAGGCGCTCTGAGAAAAATCAACCATCTATCCTTCGCCTGCTCTCCTCCCCGGCCCTCTCCACCCAGACACATCTCACAGAGCAGAAGGTGGTGTGGCCTGGCATTCCGGGTCCTTTCTTAAAAAATACCACCTTGCACTTACCACCATGCAGTGTGTGTTTCTCTGAGCTCATCCACCCTGGCAGGCTGCCGTCTGAGGCTGTGACTGGCTGTCACTAGGGATCTGTCTGTCCCTGGTACTGCTTAGTGACTGAGGAAAGGGTATATGGGGCCTTTGGAAAGGGCAAGGAAGTTGGTTTTCCTTCAACTCCAGATCAGTATCTTTATGCAAGAAGGTAAACACTACTTATCCTTAGAAACGTGTCTTTATTTTTTTTTCCTTTAAGCTAGCTTGTTTGGTCTGTGTGGGAACCACAGATTTATATTGTCTTAATGGTAACTTTACAGCCTAGGAAATAATCGCCTTAGTCTAGCTAGCCTGAAGGATCTTTTTCTTCTTCGCTGGTATGGATTCTTCAAATGGCTGGTGTTTGCTTTCTTTTCTATGATCACCATCATTATGGAGGCGGATCAGTTATGTTGAGATACACGGAGCACTGAGGGCTTTTTGTGTGTGTGTGTGTAGATAAGCTGCATATTTCTGATAATGTAACACTTAGGAGTTTAACTTAGAAGTTTGGAATTCATGAGCCAAACTGTGAAGGGTGGGAACAGAGAAAGAATTGGGGCATGAAGATGGGAGGAGGGGTGCATGTGAGATAACTCTGGCGTGAGTTCTGGAAGAAGGGGGTGGGGGAGAGAAAGGCGGAGACACATAAAATCCATTGTTGGCAATTCAAACTTAAAATCAAGGCAGAGAAGAATGCAGATGTGGTGACCTTGTAGTTCTAGCCCTGGAGGCCAAGGCAGGAATATCCTGAATTAAAGGCCACCCAAGGTTAGCTAGCAAGACCTTGTCCCTCACTGCCCTCCCTGACCCCCACACACAAATCAACATAAAAAGAAAAGGCAAAAGGGGAGGCAGAAATCAGTGAATCATAGATGTTGACAACAATAATGCTATTAGCCTTTTGAAAAGAAGTGAGAAAAATTGGCCCAGCTCCTGCCTCCCACATCTCCCTTCGAAGACTACCTGGTTCTCTGCCAAATCCGGGGTAATGAAAAGAGCGTGAGTCGCTCTGCGCTCTGCACGGAGGAGAAACTGCAGCTGCTCAGAGAGGAGTCGGGACAAGATCACCAAGGTAAGACGGAGACCAAAATCATGCGAAAGTTTTTGTCGGGTTTAAAGAAAACCCTTAGGAACTATGGAGCTCTCCCTCCCTCCCTAATTCTGAGAAAGAAGTCGTTACTAACAGAGGTTTAGCCGATGAGAGATAGCCGCTATTAACTCATGAATACCGTCTGCTTTCCTTCTGGTGATTTTTTTAAATTATTGATAAATGGTCTGACTGGACACTGTTAGCATTTAAATCCCTTCCCAACGTGAAGCTTTCCCAAGCAAGATGATCATTCAACTTCTTCTTTTATGTTTAGCAATTGCTTGCAAGTAGCTCTCAGTAAAAGGAAGATCAAGGAAAACTGTGACTACAGAATTGGGGGAGGGGTGCATAAGGAACTGATTACCTAAATGGATACATTTTAAAAGTTTATCCATTTTGCTACCGTTCACCCGACATACTCTCTTCTGAAGGCTGCTTGTCCTTTGCGCTCCTGACAATCTTCCCTCATACTTCTCTCTACTTCTCTGTGGGCTTCAACCTTCCTGGTGCTCCGATCCTTTAAAACAGTTGTGGTGACCTCCAACCATAAAATTATTTCATTGCAACTTCATAACTGTAGTTTTGCTACTGTTTTGGCTTGTGATGTAAATATCTGAGATGCAATATGTCTGATATATGACCTTTGTGAAAGGGTCGTGCCACCCTCCAAAGGGGTCGCGACCCACAGGTTGAGAAACTGATCTAGACGCATGTCTGCGCTTCAGATTGTTTCAGTAAGAAATACAGCCTGACAGGCCCTATACTGTGATCCCATGGGAGCCAGAGACTGCATATGGCTGCCTTTTTTCCAAATGTGCCTGCTTCCAGGCTTCATCCTTGCTTGATGCTGTGGTTCAGCGCTGGGCCCAATGCCCTGGACAGCTGCTTTTCATGTTTGTCTTTGATGCTCCCCTCTGGTTTCCTCCCGGATGGTACACAGTTCTACATTTCAAACATCTCAGATCCCCCTAATTTCTCAGACTTAGGGGTCCCTGAAACTTATCTCACAGTGAGCGAGTTCCCTTAAACAGTTAATAAGCATGCCATGCAGATTGCACTGGTTCTCTGGACCAAATTTTACATCCCCTCTCCTCCTCCTCTGAGAGGTTCTGCCATTTCCCATGCAAAGGTGAGCTCTGATTTCCTCAGCGACCTAAATGGTGTTTCTTTGGATCTCTGTTACCTTATGGCATATACAGTTCCATGGTCAATTTTTACTTTCATGCACAGGATGAAATAGGGTTGGAAATGAATTTCAAACAGTAAATAATGAGGATTTCTCTTCAGCATCTGCCAAGGTTTACAGGAAAAGAGGTTTATAAGACACATCCAGGAATTGTCAAGCGTCACATTCAATCCAGAAATCAAATCAAAGGGAAGCAGTATAAAAGCAGTGCTGTGAGGAGATAAATATGTAATCGGGAAGAGTTTGGCTGAGGAAGGCCGATAATGAGGATTTTAGTTTGTTTTTAACAACCTGAGCATGACTTTGCCAAAATCAATGCATCTTTCATGCAACCGCTGGCATGTTTGCAAACTCTGCGAGGTGAGTCCAAAGGTAGGGGGCAGAATTTCCCCTCCGAGCACCAGTTTGCTGAAGGGACAGTTAGATACTATAAGGTCACATGTGAACTCCATCAATAGTAGAAAGGAACCGTAGCTCTGTGGAACAATATGAAAAGATGGTTGGTTCACAGACGTCAGGAAATTGTGCTAGAACCGCTTGCCTCATCAGTTTCTTACCACGTCTCTGGTGTGGGTGTCTGGGTCGAAGGGAGCATCTTTTTGTTTGTTTTCTGGTGCTCTGACTTGATGCCAAGACTTTGAACACATGGGTAAACACCCTACCGCCCAGCTATCTCTCCAGCCTATGAGGAGCACTTGGGTACTTGTTTCTCTGTTGGCTCAGAAGCTGTGCTTTAATCCGCCGCCGTTTTAGCCGGGAAATGTGGTTCCACAGTTACCACCTTGTTTCTCTGGCAGCGCCCGGGCCACTCAGGCTGCTCTCAGTGGAAATTCTGTTCCCACAGGCATCGACTAAGTCACTGCTGCCAAATACAGCTTTTAATTAAATCTTTATTGTTCTATGTATTTTATTAATAATTATTGACTTGGGAGTCAAAGGCTGGGGTGAAAACCTGCTAACTCAGAGAGGCTGAGTAGCAACTAGCTGACTTCTCTCTAAAACAAAAGAACTCATGCTAAGTCCCTCCCTACTGCTTCCTAAGCATTTCTTTATTATCTTATATAACCCTCTACGATTACTTTCTGTCAACTAGTTGTGAACCCAGTGTCCTGACACAAAGGAGATTTTATTTAACTAACCCAAAGGCAAACTCGGGGTTCACAGTGTGATCAAATACCCCACAAAAGGCATATCTAAGGAAACATCTCATACAGGGCAGTCAGATCTCACGATGAGAGGGGACCAATGGGTGTGGGAAGTTTGCTGTACCTTCTTCTTGCTGCAGACTCCCAGCAATACTGCTTTTGACATTTGTAGGCTATACCCCTGAGGTTTTTTAACCTTTTGTTTAGGGAAATATGTAATATAATATAATAGAAACACACACACATATACACACATACACACATTCACACACACATACACACATACACACACATACACACACACACAGCTTCTGGTGGCAGCTTCAAGTCCATCTTCTAGCTACCTTTTTTATAATTTATTTCATTTTTTAAAAAAGAAAACAAACTATCTTTTTTCATTTTACACACCAATACCAGTTCCCACTCCCTCTCCTCCTCCCATTCCTTCCACCTTCCCCCTACCCACCACCATCCAATCTTCAGAGAAGGTAAGGCACATTGCTTCCGGGAAGGACCAAGGCCCTCCCTCCTATATCTAGACTGAACAAGGTATCCATCCAAAAAGAATGGGTTCCCAAAAAAAAAAAAACAGTACAAGAATTAGGAATAAACCCTGGTCCCACTGCCAGTGGCCCCGCAGTCTGCCCCAGTCATAAAACTGTCACCCACATTCAGAGGGTCTAGTTTGGTCCTATGCTGGTTCCTTCCCCGTCCGGCTGGAGTTGGTGAGCTCCCATTAGCTCAGGTAAGCTGTTTCAGTATCCCCATCATGGTCTTGACCACATTCTCCCTCCTCCCACTCTTCAGCTGCACTTTAGGTGTTCAGCCTAGTGCTCCACTGCGGGTCTCTGCCTCTGTTTCCATCAGTTGCTGGATGTTCATTCTATGGTGACATTTAAAATGTTCATCAATCTGACTACAGGGCAAGGCCAGTTTGGGTACCCTCTCCTCTGTTGCTTAGGGTTGTAGCTGGGGTCATCCTTGTGGATTCCTGGGATTTTTTCTAGTACCAGGTTTTGGATGAAACTAGAAAAAAATCATCCTGAGTGAGGTAACTCAGACCAAGAAAGATGAACATGTTATGAACTCACTCATAAGTGGATACTAGCTGTAAAGCAAAAGATAACAAACCTATAGTCCACGATCCTAGAGAAGCTAAGTAACAAGGTGAACCCTAAGAGAAACATATATAGATCCCCCAGGAAAGGGGAAATAGATTAGACTGCCTGACAAAATTGGGAGCATGGAGGTGGGGGAAGAAGTGAGGACAGAAGAGGAACAGGAGGGGAGAGGGGAAGGGAGAGGAGAACTTGAGGCAATGGGATAGTCGAGATGGAGGAAGGACAGAGATGAGAGCAAGGAAAGAGATATCTTGATTGAGGGAGCCATTATGGGGCTAGCTAGCTACCACTTGTTAGCTATATGTATCTGGATCTTTCTCAATATTCCTGTATCTAATTTTGCCCCCTCTGGTGTGAAATGTGAAACAACTATCAAACATCATTAAAACCCTACTCAAGAGAAGTTCTGTGATTGGCTCCACAGTTGGAAGTGATCGTCAGAGGTTACGAGTCCACCTCTGAGCATCTACTGGATGTGAGAAGATCTCAAGTTATTGCAGTACCTCTGTGACATAAATGTTACCATCTTGATTTGTGAAAAACAGAAAGTGAGATTTGGAAAGACCATATTTACCCCAAATGGCAAAGTTGGTAAATTTCAGGTTAGAGATTAAAATCCAAGGCTAAGTTTCATTAAGAAGAAAAAACAAAAGACAAAGAAGTAAGCATGCTTCTAAATCAATGTCATCGATGTCTCTAAGTGTCTCTAGGGAAGAATGCTTTTGATTTAGAATTCCCATAGTTTTCTAATGTAAAACATTAGTGAAAAAACACTAGAGTCTTTGACTTCTTTGGGCAGGGCTTAACCCACTGTTACCTGAGGGGAAAGTTCCACCAACTACTGTCCCTTCTTTTTCTCTTGCTATTCTTGTTGCTAGGAATTAGGCAGGTTCACCCACAAACTTGGCTAGTTTACATCTAATTTGCTCCTGCTTCCAACACCTCATAAATCAAATGATTACCAAAAAAATTCCTTAGCCGTTTGAGTTCGTCTGAGAAAGCACAAAAAAAAATATGATCAGAAAAGTGTTTTGCTCATTAATTCCCATGGAATCTTAACAGGGACTTGACATTTTTGTGAGGAGTTTAACAGAACTTTGTAGTTGTGTATGGCTTCTCTGCTCAGTCTCAACCAGTTTTAGCTTGTTGACTTGTTATTGGCAGATATTTTTTAAATGATATTTAAGTAAGCTATATTTTCCCATGAGTGTCTGTGTGTGTGTGTGTCTGTGTGTGTGTGTGCCTGTGTGTGTGTGTGTGCCTGTGTGTGTGTGTCTGTGTGTGTCTCTGTGTGTGTGTGTGTCTGTGTCTGTGTGTGTCTCTGTGTGTGTGTGTATGTGTGTGTGTCTGTGTCTGTGTGTTTCTGTGTGTGTCTCTGTGTGTGTGTGTGCCTGTGTGTGTGTGTCTGTGTCTGTGTGTTTCTGTGTGTGTCTGTGTGTGTGTGTGTGCCTGTGTGTGTGTGTGTCTGTGTGTGTCTCTGTGTGCCTGTGTGTGTGCCTGTGTGTGCCTGTGTGTGCCTGTGTCTCTGTGTGTGTGTGTGTGTGTGTGTGTGTGTGTGTGTGTAGGTCGCAGGACAATTCTGTGTCGTCTTTTCTCTCCTTCCACCTTTATGTTGGTTCTGGGGATTGATCTCACATACTTGGACTTGCATAGTAAATGCTCTAACCAGCTGAGCTCTCTTGACAGCCCCACCCCTTTTCCTTTTTAAAGAAAGTTTTGGTGTATTGTCTCACACTGTAGCCCAGGCTAGCTTGGAATCCCCCGGGCTCACTTGGCACTCACGGTAATCCTTCAGCCTCAGTCTCTCAAGTGTTAGGATAACAGGCATGAGCCACCATGCACGTTTTGTTTTGTTTTTCATAAAGGATAATACGCTTTTCATAACTTGTTCTCACTTGGAGCTTTTCAGAACCAAACATAACTTCTTCAAACCTGAATTTATTAGTTCAAGATTTCTCCTCCTCAGGGTTGTATTTTCTGTTTTCTTTTATGCATAATGTATATGACCCAACCATGTTCACACCAGTCATGTGTGTACAGAAATACTTTGTAGCCAGGTGTGGAATCATGCCTTTAACCAAAGCACTGGAGAGGCAGAAGCATACATAGCTCTGTAAGTTCTTCTCAGGTTTAAATAACAAGTTCCAGGCCAGCCAGGGCTCCATAGTGAGACCCTGTTTCAAAGCAGAAGCAAAAACACACTTCACCAGATCTCTATATAATGTCTTCATATTGGCAAATTATTACTAGTAGTGCTACGCTTTCATTAACACTAATTATCTCAAATATTTTGAAAGTTTCAGTCAGAGAAACTGGTACAGATATTGATTCTGACTTAGTGACAGTCTTCAGCTTCCTGTTTTGACTTCCTTAACAAAAAGTCCCTATTATGGGAATGAATAAAAGGATTCTTTTTTTTTATTAAATAAAGCACATGTTTTTTTCTTCACTGACCTAAGAACATATTTTGTAGAAAACAGAGTTTTTATTATGTAGTAAATATTTGATATAATAAACTGAGCGCTCTTAACTCAAAGAATGCAAACGGCTTAACTGTTTGGAGAGTGCCGTGCCTAGGATGCGATGGTCAAGCTGGACACCTGACTATTATCTTCTTCATTACATTGAGTGGAAGGCTTTCTGCTCAGTGTCAGACGCATGGGAGCAGACTCAGACACAGATGGCTTAAGGCTGTTAGTATTCTAAGACAACAGGGAAACTCTTCTCCATGCTATCTTTGAAAAGAGAGTCTTCTCCCCTCAGCAGTTCTCACGGCAACCCCAGTCGGTAACTAGGTCGGGAAGACTCAGTCGGCGAGGGGTCCCCTTGGAGTGATCATGGCAGGGATCTGACTGCCGGCTGTGGCAGCATGCGAAGCCAGTCACACAATGCTGGTGCATCGCCAGACCTCTGAGTGGTATTTCCGTTAGTGTGTAATGTGTGATCACTGGGCGGTGGGATGAAATGGACAAGGTGCCTGGTTCCCTACCTCTATTATTTATTATCTATGCATGGAAAGCCCCTTAACTTTGGAACGTCTCGGCATCCGCTGATATCATTCAGTACGCGATGCGGCTCGTTAGTCTCACCCCTGAGAAGACCAGTGTTCAACAGCCTTTTTAACTTCCTGTTTTTAACTTCAGCCCAACTTCTAGTAACCAAGACCGAGCCCACTAGGAATCCTAGGCAAAACCGTTGAAAACAGAGAGTTAGAAGACAGTTGGAGATGCCCAAGAAGGGGAACAATCAGAACGGCCAGCGCTGGGAAGGATTCTTGTTTTGACTTTTGACTATGCCAGCTGGCTTGGGAAGGTGTGGCGGCGAATGCGTTGTGAAACATGGAGCTCTAAGGGCCTTTAACAGCCCGCTCTACATTGTGAGTGTTTCTGTTGCCCTCCAAGGAGGACATCACAAACACAAGAGAAAACCCATAAAAGCTACACTAGGAGCAATTGTAGCCTTTGTGCAAGGGTAACCTTTCTTATACCCTATGGATATATTTAAATTAACTTTAGAATAGAGGTGATATGAATTCGTACTTTAATTAGAAAATATCTTGGAGTTGTTTTGTCTTTTGAATGCCACTGTGGACTTTATATTCTTTTCTCTGCCCAGCCATATCACTCCTGTCTCCCTAGTGCTGGGATTAAGGACATGTGATCCCAAGTGCTGGGATCGCCTTTATGTGAGCTCTGTTTCTCTTTCAGACAGGTTCAATCTTATGTATCCCAGGGTGGCCTTGAACTAACAGAGATCCCTCTGCCTGCCTCCCGAGTCCTGGGATTAAAGGTGAGTGCCACCACTCCTGGGCCTCTAGTGGCTTGGCACTGCATTCTGATCTTCAGAAAGCTTTATTTATTAAAACACAAACCAAATATTGCTACACCCAGACATGAGGTACCTCACTGAACCTAGAGTTATGCTGGCAGCCACAAGCCCCAGGAATTCTCCTACCTCTGTCCCCCATGGTGTTGGAGTTACAGGAAAAAGTGACCTCACTCGGCCTTTTCTATGACTGCCGGGGATTCAAACTCAGGTTCCCGCATGTTTGCACAACAGAGGTCTTCACCTACTGAGCTATCTCTCCAGCCTTGCATTTGGTTTCTAGTGACTTCATGTCTATACCTAAGAAGGGCAGCTGAAGCCTTTGAAAGCTGCCCCAAGGTGTCTGTCATAGCCTAATAGACACCTTGGTTCTTTCCTTAAATATGATTAACTTTCAGTTCTTTAAGGACAGAGAACTTAGTGTTTAATCGAACGTATAAGAAGCTCACCTTCGGTCTAATAGAAGAGAGGGTTTTAAAAGTCTTTCCTGTCAACTATTTCCTATCACTGATTCAGATAGTTCCCTTAATTTAAAGTTTATTTTTAAGTTACTTAATTTATGTTAACTAAATAATAATTCTTAAGAATTACTTTAATTTTTCTTATTGATGTAGAACCCATGTATTTTAGAATCTGCGGATGTTCTTGTTCCCTTAACGACAACAACAATAAACTGGTATTTTAATAATTTTTAACAAATATACAGAATATGGCACAAAATTGAACAAATTGTATCTTTAATGACCTGTCATGAACTACACAGACCTATGTAATTTTATAATGACTACTGCACCCCAAATCTCCCCATTCACCCCTCTAATATTCTATCTCAAAGGTAATCATTATCATATTTCCCAATGTCATATATGGTCCTCTGTGCACAATGATGCTTCAGTCAATGACAGACCACAACAGTGATCCTATACAATTATAGTGCCAATGTGGTACACGAGCCATCTCAGTTTGTGTGACTACGCCCTACAATAGTTACACAGTGATGTACTCGGGATGTGTTCCCATCACTAAGCAATATACAACAGTATTACAACTGTAGTTTTAAACGATACATACTTTGTGTCTTTCCCTCAACATCGTGTTTCTAAGATGCAGCTTTGTTTTTTGTTCAAGTGGCAGAAGCTTGTTTTGTGTGTGTGTGTGTGTGTGTGTGTGTGTGTGTGTGTGTGTGTGTGTGT